TGAGCAATGTTGCCCATAGGCCTCTCGTTTGAAATTCTTCTTTTCTGTTTGTGGGCAATAAATAAACTAACCAAGAGCATAGTTATGTTGAATAAGACGGCCTCTCTTCAAATTGTGAATTTAATGGCCCAAGGGTCAGAGGTTCTAGTGGTAGCGTGGAGCTATATAGATTAAATAGTGAAAATGCTAAAAATTGTTGAAATTCTTCTTCTCTGTTCATGGGCATTAAATAAACTAAACAAGTGCATAGCTATTTTGAATAAGGCTGCCTCTTCCAAAATTGTGAAATTTCATAGCCGAAGAGTCAGAGGTTTTTTAGTGCCAGGGCTGGGCAATATGGTTTATATGGTAAAAAATTAATTATTTCTTTGAAAATCTTCCTCTTTGTTCCTGAGTATTAAATAAACTAACCAAGTAAATAGTTAGGTTGAATAAGGCTACCTCTTCCAAAATTGTGAATTAAATAGCCCCTGGTTTGGGGTACTGGTTTTAAGGCGGGGCTTTGATGATTATATAATGAAAATACATAAATTCTTTTTAACTCTTCTGTTCTGCACCTGAGTATTTAACCAATGATCTATGTACATAGTTATAAGGAAGAAGGATGCCTCTTTGAAGTTTTTGAATTTCAGCGTCCCTGGGTTAGGGCTTCTTGAAAAAATTAAAAATAATTTTATGCTTTGAAATCTGCACTTTGGTATTAATAAACAGCATGATGAAATAAAAATTTTTAAAATTCTAAAATTTCGAAAGATGTGGCCCCATGGTCAGTGGTTCCTGTTGATTGGGGGAGCTGAAACTGTGAACACAAAAAGCCATAAACCAGGGGCTCTGAAATTCACTAAAAATAGAAATGCATTTTCTCTTTGTTAGCTCCTCTGAGCCAAACGCTCAAAGAGCTAATGCTATGGCCATTTGTGCATTGAGCGGTGTGCGTTAACTTTTTAGAATATGGGCCATAACTCAAGAACCCCTTGGCCAATCAGTGTCAAATTTGTCACAGGGTATCCTTGGCCCAAGGGCTACCATTTGTACTAAAATAAGGGTTGGGACCCTAACACAAGGGGAGATAATCAGGAAAATAAAACCACAAGTACTGGTTGCAAAAAAATTTCACCATTTTCAGAATATCACCAAACTTACATACAAGGATTTGGATATGTTGAAGAATTAAAATTGTTCAAGGCAAAACCTTGGGGCAAAGGGCGTGGTCTCAAGGTCTCTTTAAGGCTGACTTAAATTTACAATTAATAAAACTGTTTATATTTTGCTTACTATAAGGTCTAGGATCATCAAATCTTGAAGTTGATGCATCTTAGGACTTCACATCATGATAACTCAAAAGTAGGTCACACTGGCCTATTTTTTTTAATTTTGCGGGCATTTGTTTTCAAATTGATTTAAAGACATATTTTGGATACTTTAAGGCTTATGATCATCACACTTGGTCAGTTGATGCATCTTGGGTCCTTAAACAACATCAATTTAAAAGTAAGTCACCGTGACCTACTTTTTGAACTTCATGACTTATCCTTTTTAAAACATTTAATCCCATAATTTCAGGCACTGAAAGGGTTAGAATCATCAAATCTTGTAAGTTGCTGCATTTTGAGACCTTAAAACATATTTCAGAAAAAGTGGGTCACTGTGACCTACTTTTAGAATTGTGCAGGCATTTGTTTTCAAATTGTTTAAAAGGCATATTGTGATTACCTTCAAACCTACGATCATCAAACTTGGTCAGGCGATGCATCTTGGGACTCTAAAAAATATCGACCAAAATGTAGGTCACAGTGACCTACTTTCGACATTTTATGGCTATATTTTAGTATTATAGGTATTTATTGTTTAAGAATCATCAAACTTTGTGAGTTGATTCATCTTGGGTTTTCGGAGAGTGATGACCAAAAATTAAGTCACAGTGACCTACTTTTGACATTTTATGACTATATTTAAGTATCTCCAGTACATATTGGCTTAGAATCATCAAACTTTGTCAGTTGATGCATCTTGGGTTTTCGGAGAATGTCAATCAAAAGGTATCACGGTGACCTACTTTTGACATTTTATGGCTATATTCATGTATCTCAAGTACTTACTGGTCTAGAGTCATCATACTTTGTCAGTTGAATGTATAACTGTATTTATTGCTGAGTGTATAATTATGATAAGCAATGGTGCCTTTTTCAAAATTGTGAATTTTATGGCCTTTGGTTTACATGTAAAACATGAAAATAAAGAACAAAATTAGGCCTAGTGAAGGTCCAATCAAGACACATGCAGTGCCTGAGAACAGGTGCTTGTAGAGACTTACATACAGTCATCACCAAAGTTGAACATATACATTATTAACATGACTAACTAACTTAAAAATGATTACCCCTTAATACGATGAATTAGACATATTTGATACATTGATGCTGTACAATAATAATGTTCTACTAAAACATCCTTACATATAAATGCACCAGTATTTTGTGCAAGAATTTTAAATCAAAACTTACAACATTTTAGAATTATTTCTATTTCTTTAACCTCCTTAATTAGAATCTTGGCTGCTACTCACGTAAGTCAGGCCTAGAAAAAATATGTTTGTTTCCTCTTTCAGGCTAAAATAATATAGGGTAGGTAGGTAGGCAATTCTTTTTAGAAAAAAAAGATTTTGCTTCTTTAATCAAAACGTGAATAGAAGTAACATTAATGACAAAAGAAATGGTATTATAAGCATTACTGTGACTTAACTTATAATAGAAAGGTGACACAAACTTCTTTCTGTCTTGAAAAGCTTGAAAAGTTGGAGGCTATAATTCCCTGGTTGAAATCTTGCACCTCATAGGACATAAGCATTAAATTTAAAAATATTTAGGGTCGATACGATAAATTAGGGTCGGTCGGGAAAGCGGAAACAAACATATTTTTTTCTAGACCTTATTAAAGAATGGGTAGCGACTGTTCCTTCATCATATTCAGCATATTGATGTGAATGTTGTGGGTCCTTCAGATGAGACCTTTAGAACTGAGGCCCCGTGTCAGCAGCAGGTGCTGGCACAATAAAGATCCCTCACTGCCCAATGACCCTGAGTGCAGCGTAAAGGTCAAAATTTGAAGCCCTTCACCAGTACAAGGTGACGTCTCCATATGAGTGAAAAATTTTGGAATGTGACATATCCAATCAATTAATCAATCAGTCAATTAATCATATAACTATTGACAGACAGCATTGTATTTCTTTACTTTTCATATTCCATCTCTTATTATCCAGATTGTGACGTAAATCTAGTAAAGTTGACCAGTATCGGTGTATCCGCAATATAGCCCCCCCCCCTACCCCCAGGGGTCATGATTTGAACAAATGTAAATCTACACTATCTGATTATGAGGATGCTTCTATATTAATATCATCAATTATGGCTTTTCTATTTTTGAGAGGAAGATTTTTAAAGAAGGGGGGAGGGGGGACCTGGCCACAAGTACCTGTGGTTGTATTATGTATTGATATGGAAGCATTGATTTCTAATATAATGTAAGTTCACGTTTATTCAAATTAAGACCCCCAGGTAGGGTGAGGCCATAGTGGGGGATCAAAGTCCTACGTAGGGCTAGGCATACATATCAAAAACAAAAACTTTTACAATCTTCTTTTCAAGCAGACAACAAAGCCATGTTTACTCATATTGATATTAGAGCATGCCCAGGAAGTGTAGAATCAGATTTGTTCAAATGATGAATTCTGGTGGGGGGAGGGGTCAGGGTGTGACCACATTGGAGGATCAAAGATTTACGTGTACATAGGAGAATATAGGAAAAAAATCTACTCATGATCAGCAAAATTCTTCTTTAGTCATATTTATATTGAAGGATCCTCAGGTAGTGAAGATTATGTTTGTTTAAATGACGACCCCCTGGGGTAGGGAGGGGCCACAATAGGGGATCAAATTTTTACAAAGGTTAATACAAGAATTTTTTTCTTCTGCTCAATAACAGAAAAACCATTACAATGTTGATATGGAAGCATCCTTAGGAAGTGAAAAATTTAAGTCCACTTCCACCCAAGCCCATGTAAAACTGATTCTGCTTATTCCTAGACAATGTTCTCAGGTGAGCAATGTGGCCCATTGGCTTCTTTATAATATGTCACAACAAGCTTTTAATCATGGATATCTCTAGAACTTACTATTTCAGAAAATGTATAATTTAAATTTATATAGGCATATACATTTATGACTGTATACATGTAAGAAAGCAAAATTTATTCTCATGATAGTTATTTTGTACATAACTAAGTTTAAAAAGAAGACTATAAATTTTATACAATATTGTAGAATGAAAAATAACAAATAAAAATATAAGGGTATTATTATGATCTGTAAAAAATAAAATATCTTCCAGTTGCACTTATCTGTACATATAGTTTTGTTCTACTGATTAATTTGTAAATATTGATTTGTTATATAGGTAATATTGTGAACACTTGGAGGCTGCTATCTATTGAGACATCAAAAGGACTCAGTTCCCAATAGAAAGGTATTTAATATGTTTATGTGTATTCTGATATAAGTTTTTCAGATTCTTAAAACGAGAACATTGATACGCAAGGCCATCTTTAAAAACAGTTTGATTGCCTTCTCTCAACGATTTAGTAACTAAAACATCCCAAATAAAAACTTTTGTTTATTTCACATCTGCAGGTGTTTTCGAATAAAGAAAAGAATTTGGTCCTTATCTGCCTACCCTCTTTATTATCCTCATGCAGTCAGGAGAGGGCAAGCAAACATATTTTGTAAGGATGGACTGATCTTAATAATAACTAATAATAAACTTATAAAAAGAGGCGTATTATAATAAGTAGTAATAAATTTATATCAAATAATTATTCCGATTCATATAATACATGTATATATTCAAACTACTGAACAGATTGGGCAAGATGCATACAATATCTGTAAACACCCTGTTATTGATGTACAAAATTCTAGAACAGTGTTGTAATTTACAGAGAGATCTCCCTGACTGAAATCAACACAGGATTATAAGGTCACAGGAAATAGAAGTCTGGTGTCAGTTATGTATAGGTTGGTGATTCAAAAATCTGTCAGAGTGCCATGTGTTAGTCAGTGTAAACACATAACCCATGTGTCAACAGACCGAGTCTGGATCAGTGATAGTGAAGGCAATCTCATCTTAACAAACACGACAGGAGACATACTAGATAAAGTGACAGGTTTACCTGAATTTATATATGGCGGTGGATTACATACGGTGACTCCTGATAGTGCTGTGATTTATGTAGACAGTGACAATAACATCATCAAACTGTCTACATATAAAGTAGAGTCGACAGTGATACCATACACGTCACCATGGAGACCACAGTGTGTCTACAGCCCCCCCTCCACTGGACACCTGCTGGTCGGGATGTATAATGGTGATACAGGTACAGCCCAGGTAAACCGTTACACCAACACAGGTAAACACATCCAGACCATACAGCACGACAACACAGGTCAGGGACTGTATAAATATCCTAGCTATATCACAGAGAACCGCAATGGAGATGTTATTGTGTCTGACTATGTCCGTGGTGTAGTGGTGACAGACAGAAGAGGGAGACATCGCTTCTCCTACACAGGTACTCCATCAGGATCACGACTATATCCACGTGGAATCTGTACTGACGCGCTGTCACACATCCTGGTGTGTGATTCTAACACCCACACAGTACAGATCATTGACCAGGACGGTCATTTTCTGTCCCAGTTCAAGACAGAACAACACTTGATAGACAGACCATGGGGCCTGAGTTTTGATAGTGAAACAAAGCTTCTCTGGGTTGGATCATACAACAACAAAGTAAACATTTACAGACTTATCAATGAAGGGGACAATCTGACTGGTGAGTTATAATATTGTATCATTGTGTGTTTTGTTTACATGTATAGGTATTAGGTAACTATGTTTTGTGTACAATGCTACATCTACCATTATCTACAATCATTTAAATATATAGGAAGTCACATTCACTGTTGTATCCACTTATATGTGTTATATTAAACAAAACATTAAAAATGATAAGTCTAATCATGCTAATTACCTTACATCTTTCATTGAATTGTTGAATTGTCACAATAAATAACAAGAAATATTTTTAAGATGAGGATAATATAAATTATAAATTGTAGTTTAACAAAAACTTTATCGTTAGAATACTTTTACATGTTTTAAAAGAGTTTGGCAAAGCAGTGATTTTCTAGAAAGAAAAAAAATGTTTGAATCATGTTAATACATGTACATGTAAATGTTTATCAACTTGTAAAACATCCTCTGAAATTAATATACATTTATTGACTGAGTTCGAGGGCAACATGCGTTTTGTCGGACCCAAGAACCAAACTGTCTGCCTGAGGCCGTAAGGCCGAAGGCAGACAGTGTGGTTCGAGGGTTCGACAAAACGCATTTTGCCCGAGAACTCTGTCAATAAATGTTTTGTTATACCTTTCATTTTATTTTATTTATTTACATGTATTTTGTACTTTATTCTGTGATGTAACACCAGATCTATCACTGTTTAACACCAGCGAATGAAAATGAGATTAAGCTCCGCCCACTATGTGACGTAAGCGGTCCAACATCTCTCCGAGCGGTCCAACATCTCACTCAGCAGTCGAACATCGATTTTTTTATGCCCGCTCAGCAAAACATTAAAAATGTTAGACTTTTTTTCGTATAGAATTGTATATTTACAAATTTCTAAAGGTATAACAATTTCTTATGTGTGTAGAGCTTAATCAAGTGTATAGATATTTCTGAAACAATTGTCTCTTTAGCAATGCTTTAGTTAACTCTTTCTTGAATAATAGGTTGGCTGGACAATGAGAGATAACTGTAGATAAACAACACTATTTTGTTTACATAAATTGGCAATGCATATTGTTAGGTCTTTCCACCTTTCCGTGAAAAGACCTATTGATTTTCTTCTGTTTCTTATTATTAGGTCTTTCCACCTTTCTGTGGAAAGACCTCTTGAAATGTTTGTTTTTTATTTTATTTCTCACCTTATGTTTTGACATCGTAAGACTTATCGAAAAACCGTATAGTTCATGATTCTGGATATTCAAAGTTATTCCGAAAAATGACCCCCAATGTTTCAACTTAAACCCCTTATGCAGTTATTGCTCCTTTCACCGTAAAGCTTGTTATCGCTACTCCTCTGAAACAGTATATCGTAGAGTTGCAAAACCTTCACTAACGTCTTCAACTAATTTAGGAGACTTTTCAATCTATTCATTGAAAAAGTTTTCTTTGACCCCTTCAATGAGTAACTGCCCCTGAAAGATTATAAATTTTACAAAAAAATAAAAATTTTCAAAACGATAAGTCGTAGAGACATGAAACCAACTGCATAACATTTAATGACCTTTTGCCTTTAAATTCATTTCAAGGTCAAAGGTCAAGGTCATTCCAAATATGAGAAATAAATTTTCTTAATAGCTCTTATGTTCTTAAACATATACGATCTATGTTATGTATTTAATATGTACTTAATGTATGTATATGTACTTAATATGTACCAAGATATAAATCGTTGTTATCGCTTCTTCTCTGAAACCGTAAACCATAAAGGAATAAAACCTTCACCAATGGCTTTGCCTAATAATGGGGACTCTTCAATCTATTCATTGCAAAAGCATTCGGTGACCCTTCAATGAGTTATTGCCCCTGAAACTTTTTGAATATTACAAATAATTAAAAGTTTTCAATACGACAAGACGTAGAGACATGGGACCAACTGCATATGATTCATTGACCTTCGAATTCATGTAAAGATCAAAGGTCAAGGTAATTCCAAAAGTGGAAAATTAAGCTCTTTTTTTATATCTCTTTTGTCTTTTAACATATACCTTATGCATCATTAATATGTACTCTTAAAACTGTTTCAAAGGTGTCACTCTTGTCCCATAATATTAACCCTTTTAAAAGTTATTGCCCGTTGTGCGAAAAACCTTGTTATCGCTAATCCTCCAAAACCGTAGACTGTAGAGACACCAAACCTTCACTAATATCTTAAGGGTTTTTGCCCCTACTTCACTATATAAGTGTAAATGGATCTGATGACCCCTTACATGAGTTATTGCCCTTTAAATTCTACTTACTATTAAACCTTATAACTTGAAAACTTTAAGTCATAGAAGCATGAGGACAACTGTCTTGTGACCCTTGATCTTTGACGTTGAATATTTTTTGAAGGTCAAAGGTCAAGGTCAATCATTTTTTATTTTCATTTTTTCAATGATTTAAGAGAGTTCTGGTTTCTTTCTCATGGAATTTAATTTTTAGGAGTCAGGTAAAAAGCAAATTTAAAATTCAAAGAAGGTGGAAAGATCTCTTATTGTTCTGTGAACAATAAGTCTCCTAGTTCTTCTTATTTTTCCTCCGCTGATTTTTTGTTTCGTCATTTATTGAAAGGACCTTTTTGTCCATTGTAAAGGTGATTAAAAGTTAGGAACAAATTTGACCCAATGCGTATGAACTATGACCGCTTTTCGAAGTTATTGCCCCTCTCGCAAGAAATGCTTGTTATCCCTACTCCTCCGAAACCGTGAACAATAGAGGTATGAAACCTTCAACAATGTCTTCAACTACTTGAGGGGACTCTGGAATCTACTCATTGCGAAAGTGTTTGGTGACCCCTTCACTGAGTTATTGCCCCTGAAAGTTTTTGAATTTTAATAATAATAAAATATTTTCAAAACGAGAAGTTGTAGCGACATGGGACTAACTGCATAAAATTCATTGACCTTTAATCTTAAAATTCATGTAAAGGTCAAAGGTCAAGGTCATTTCAAAATTGAAAAACTGAGCTCTTTTTATATTTTTTTTTTACTTTTAACATTTACAAAGTGTCTTTGCATCATTATTATGCACTTTTTAAATTATTTTTAAGATTTAATTCCTTAAGAAGAGTCTGAAATCTATTCATTGCGAAAATATTCGATGACCCTTCAATGAGTTGTTCCCCCTGAAAATCTTTGAATTGTACAAATAATTAAAAATATTCAAAATGAGAAGTCGTAAAGATATAGGACTAACTGTATAAGATTCATTGACCTTTGCTCATAAAATTCTTGTAAAGGTTAAAGGTTAAGGTCATTCAAAATTTGAGAAATTCAGCTCTTGTTATATCTTTTTTGTCTTTTAACATATACTTAATGTCTTTGCATCTTTAATATGTACTTTTAAACCTATTTCAAAGATTTCATTCTTGTCCCTTAATATTGACCCTATTTAAAGTTATTGCCCCTTTTGCGAAAAACCTTGTATTTGCTTTTGCTCCAACAAAGTAAATCGTAAGAACATGAAACCTTCACTTCTTTCTTAGGAGACTTAAGGCAAATTTTAATGTTCAAGTGCAAAAGGATCTGGTGACTCCTTGAATCAGTTGCTGTCCTTTAATTCTTTTGTGCTTACCATGAAACCTTATAACTTTAAAACTATACGTAATAGAGACGTGGGGTTAACTACAATGTGATCCTTGACCTTTGACCTTGAATATAACTTGAAGGTCAAAGGTCAAGGTCAACTCCAAATTTTGATTTTTTTTTTCATTTTTTCTTCTTTTAAGCCATTCCTGGTTTCTTTTTGATGAAATTTAATTTTAAAGAGATAAATATTACATGAAATTTGAAATTCAAAGACGGTGGAAAGACCTCTTATTGTTCTATAAACAATAAGTCTCATAGTTTAAAAATGGGTTTTGTATTTTATGTAGAAAATTATTTAGGATAAGACCAGGGATCAAGCTATGAAAAATGTGTGTAGAGTGGGCAGTCAGGGGCATGATGGAATCAAGTTATTTTAAAGAATATCTTAATTGTTTATGTTACTTCACTTATTTATTACTAAACCAAAAAGTAACTCATTTCAGTTAATGCTTAAAAAGTAGAATGTCTATTAGTTCTGCAAAAAACATTAATGTTTTGAGTTTGCTGCTGATTTAAGATGATTTAAGGCTAAGAAAATTGTAAATATATGTACTTCTTTTAATAGACTCAACAAACTTAATATTCCCTGAGCAGATATGATGATATTAAAAAAATAACATGATATTTTTCAAGGAAAATAATCCCATTTCAGAGGTCAATTACACATCTTCCGCCAGTTTTGCCAACATTGAGACTAATTTTTCTTAAAATCTTTGGATATTACTGTACAATCTCCGTGTCTTACATTTTTTGTGCAAAGCTGTAGATTTTTGTGCAAGAGTTTTAAAGTGAGGTGGGTTAAGGGTGAAATAAATGAAATAAGTAAACTTGTAATTTGTTGGATTTCAATGTGTTAAATGTTAAAGATCTATAGATTACTTTTCCTGTCATGAACCATCTACCATGCAGTGCATAATAACCCAAGCACAGCATGAATAATGCTATTCAGATGCCAGTAGGTTTACAATAATGAGTAGTAAAGTATCAATAACAGGAATAAGATACTGAAGAAAAGCATAATCAGGGGAAGATAATCCAAAATGTTAATTGACATTTAATAACTGAAACAAATTATTTAAAAAAAAAACTTGTTTCCATTATGCATTTGACTGGTGGGTGGATGTACATGGGCTAGGGATTCGGAAATAAGTTTTTGTAGTTTATCTTCATAAAAACAAATCATTAGTTGTAAATTAAAAGGTTCTTTCTGATACAATTAACAAGGTCAAAAGGTTACTGTGTGGAGGCTAGGTGTGCATGAATGTGTAATAGCTAGGGTGCAATACTTATTCCTAGTGGACTAGCTCCTACCTCACATGAGCAGAGGGTTAACATCTTTTATTATATGATTGAATAATTTCCATCTCTCTGATTGGCTGAGATCCTACTATGTTAGAAAAATACTACGTTGTATTGACCTGCACGTGACGTTCAAGGTCAATACACGGATGTATTTCCTCTACATTGATTTAAAAATAGATCGAGAAATTCCGAATTGATATGAATTGTTTTGAAAGGCTGTTTAAACGACTATGTATTTTTTTCATGTGTACAAATTATAAGCGAATATATTTTTTAGGGTGAGGGTGGTAAGGGGGGATGCAGGGACCCCACTTTAACACTTTTATTGAACAACAATGTTTACTTTTTGGCAATCAGTTTTCCCTGATAATGCTCCCTCTTTTTAAAATCTATCCTTTAAAAACAACGGACAATATATATTTTTTTCATGCAAACTATAATTAATAACTTCAAATTAATACGACTGGTAAGGTTTATTTACATTTTTATTCGACTTCTCTCTTGTATTTTAACTACATTATATGGGACTTAATCATGTGCAAACAGGTAATGAGCTGTATAATTAAATAAACGAATCATATAATTAAACAATTATTGCTTTTTTCGGTCAATACAATGATTTCGCCATCTTTGAAGTACAATATTCACCTCGCCCTTCGGGATCAGTGAATATTGTACTCCTCAGATGGCTAAAGCATTGTATTGACCTCCAAAGCAGCAATAATTGTATGATATTTTAAGCTTCTTCTTTGGAACTAATGAACCAGTTTCAACCGATTCTGACATAAAGCAATTACTTATTAGTAAATTGAAAAGGACATTGTAAATGTTCATCCTCCCGGTAGTCTTCTCTCGTGTCTAAGGGTGCTCTAAAGGTCATATTGTAAAAATACATCAATTCTAAAACGAATCAAAAAATTTTCCCCTCTCCTTTTAATACATTTAGCTGATGAACTACATAGAAATACCGTACAATTCCTATAAACCACCCCGGGCGCTTAGAAAATTGCAAAAAAGGGGCGGTTATTTTGATATTCTCTTTATGATATTTAATGTCATATTTTAACCTCAAAAATCTTTTGAAAAAAAAATAAATACAAGGAACCACCAACATAATTTCTAAGTTTACTGAAAGTGTAGATAATCCACCCAAATTATGTTAAATTATTCATATTCCACTGATCGGATAATAGAAAAGTTTTTTTTTTTTCATTTTCTTCTATTTATTTTATACGATTTTACTTAATTTTACTAACTGTACAGGGGGCCTTTTTTTTCCTGACAATTGAAAAATACCTAAGGGGGCTCTTATAAGGGCAGGGGCGGTTAATAGGGATTATACGGTAGTGAAATTTGTGGGTTCAGTGTTAATTTGATGAAATGGGGGGGGGGACTCTATTGATTAAGCACTTTGGATACAGAAAACATTTCTAAAAGAAATTCTTCTCTGCTCTTAGATCAATGTAGATAGTAAGGAAATAAATTAAGAGTTTAGTAATGATAAAGGGTGGGGTTTTTCTTTCAAAATTGTGTATTTCAAGGCGTCTGTAAAAGGAATTTTAATGTTGAGGGTGAAGATGTGTTGAATCTACAGTGAACATGTTTTTTTTCTTTAAAATATTTTACTCTGCTAAAAAGTACAGTGTAATAAGGCAGTGTTATTTTTTCTAGACCTGTGAGATTATTTACCAATTTTAATTATCAAAGGTTTGGTACTAGAGCCCTATAAGTATGGAAGTTATTCCGCTTTGCTATTTACCTAGCAATAAAAGATTCATATTTTGTTAGCCTGGTTAATTTAGCTCTACTAGTCAGAGACCAGAAGAGCTTATGCAATAGTAATGCGTCTGTCATCCGTCCGTGTATCTGTCTGTTTGTAAAATATTTTTAGCTCACCTGAGCAGAAGGCTCAAGTGAGCTTTTCTGATCACATTTTGCGTCCGTCCAGCTGTAAACTTGTGACATTTTCAACCTCTTATCAAGAACCACTGGGCCAATTTTTACCAAACTTGGTACAAAACATCCTGAAGTGATGAGAGTTAAAATGAAGAGTCAAGTCTCCTTCCAATGGGAGATTATTAAGAAAAGACAAAAATAGGGTGGGGTCATAAAAAAATCTTCTCCTCAAGAACCATCAGTCCAGAAAAGCTTAAACTTATGCGTAAGCATCCTTGTGTAGTGTAGATTTAAAAATGTAAAAATCATGACCCCTTGGGGTTAGGGCGGGGCCACAATAGGGAATCCAAGTTTTACAAAAAAATATACATGATATATAGGAAAAATATTTTAGGATCTTCTTCTCAAGAACCACTGGGCCAGAAAAGCTGAAACTAATGTGAAAGCATCTTTGTGTTGCCGTAGTTACTAAATATAGAAATTTCTGAGAAACACTTGAAAATGCTACTCCTCCTACAGATTTGGTCTGATTTCAATATAACTTGGCACACAAGTAGACTTACAATATGATACATAATTCTATGTATCAGCTGTTGATTTTGTTGATCTGTGTTGCCGTGGTTACTAAAAATAGAAATTTGTGAGATATACTTTAATTTTAAATGTTACTCCCCCTGCAGATTTAATTGGTCTGATTTTAGTTGTGTTTTTGATTTTGATAAACTAAGTCGCCATTGACAATTCTGTAATTTTTTTTTAAAAGCTTACGCCTACAGTTGTAGACTTATTGCAATCTTGCCAAAAAATAGACTTAAGGACGTTCGATCCTAAATTTTTGAGCGTATTTCGGTCAGGTTTTTTATTTATAAAATTCTGCATTATTTCAAGTTCTAATATTAAATCTGAATTCTACAGTGCAAATTTAAGTATATTCAATGAAAAAACAGCGATGAAATACCATTCAAGTAGAATTAAGATAGGGACTATATTTTGTGGCGGAAGGTTTTTTAGACGAAAATTGTCACTTTTTCCATTTTAATTATAACAGTGCTGTTGATTTTGGATTCAAAATTTTCCATCCTGGTTGCACAGAAAGCTGTTTTTTGCAATTAAATGTGTAATGCTGGTTCTGAAATATCTATTTGATTATTTCTTATGAATTCTGTCAACAAAGTGTGACAAATATAGTAGAAATATTCTGAAAATCTGAGAAAAAATTAAGCCAATTTAACGTAAAATTGACACTTCTTTAGTAATATCTGAAAATTTACATCGAATACCCCTGCTTTTGATGTTCTTTTTTAAATATTCAAGATAAATTTGGCATATTTGCCTAAATTCAGAAAAAAAAGTTTTAATTAAGACTTTAAAATAATTTTCTTGCTTATTAAATTTTCAATGTCAGAAAAATCACCTTTTTTAGTGCAGAAAATTCAAATAATTGATTATGCGAAGCAATCTATAACTTTTTCTTAGTCAAAATCTTTAAGTGTCTCTGTTTTTAAACAAACTTAACAAACAAAGTCCATTTTGTTTCGTGCTTTCATTGAATAAAAATATTGGAGGGAAAATGTCAAAAATATAATTTTTTATTAAGACACAAATTTCAGTGCAAAAAGGTCATATTAAATGTACTGTAGCGCCAAAAAAGCATATTGACCCCCATTTTTTTATTTGAATTTTAATTAAGCTATGTATGTAGAAACTAAATATATACTTGGCAAAAAAAGTTTAAGACTTTAAATATCAGGATCGAACGTCGTTATCAAGGATCATTATTCTATTTATTGCTTTTGTAAAGATTTACGTCCCAGCCATTTCTCTTCTCTTCCTTTATCATAAGTACACACCAATAGAGCTACAGTCTCGACAGCAGGCGCGTATCCAGGAGTTTTTTCCAGATGGTCCACTCCAGTGCAGATGACAGCAAAAAAGGGTTATCTTGCCAAAACGTTAAAATCCCGTTTCTTACACATAAAGCGGGGTTTACGGTCACTTTTAACTTCCAAATCTTCTTCAACCTATGACTTTTCATACCAACTTAATATACTTAATGCGTTTTCAAAGGGGGGTCCAAGGTCACTTTGTACTTGGTTTTGTTTATAAATTTAATAACGCTGCAAATTCCAGGGGGGGGGGGGGTGTCTTTCGGACCATCCCCTCCTCTAGATGTGCGCAGGGACAGAGATTTCTGAATGTTTTATTTTATATTTCTTTGGATTCTTACAGTGCTGTATTATACAAAGGTGACCCTTAAGGTTCATGGGCTTTTTAATTTTATATTCAGTGTTAAATGAAAGGAAAAAATGTAATCCAAGTGTTCTAGTGATTATTCTAAGTACATTATTTTGAATCCAACATTTTATGCTTTAGATCAAGTTGATGAATTAAAGACGTTCTTGAGAAAGGAGAAGACAACTGTTTCCCATGCCAGAGGAATACTTGTTGGATGTGCCGAGGCTGGAAAAACAACGCTACTGAAGCGTTTAATAGGGCAAAGTCGAAATGTCAGCAAAGCTACAAAGTCGTCCAGGGGAATAACAGAACTGTTTAAACGTTTTAGAGGAAAACACAAAAATATCAGTGAAGTTACAGAGTCCACCAGGGGACTGGAAGTCCATCAACACCTATTCATTGTTAAAGATGGAATGTTAGAAGGTAAATAGTTAATTTCCTCTATGTATTAAAAATGCACAAATTAAATGCCTGCTGCTCTGAAGAATGACCATTATATGAATTAAATATTTCTGAATTTGTTTAACACTAAGAATTAGTACATTAAAGTAGACACTATGAGCCTCCATGGCATTTACCAGCGAAATTGTAATCCAAGAAAATTTCTCCAATATTCAACCCTGTATTTATGGGTTGTAAACCTGTATGTCAACCGGATGATATTATGAGAATCCCAGATTCATTACAATTTTCAGCATACTAACTTTTTGTGTATTGAGGGGCAGTAATTAGGTCCTGTCATCCGTGTTATAGATTCTTAAAGGTTAATTAGATTCAGATGAAATTGAGATAAAGGCTTAACTTAAATCAAAGAACTGAAAGTACTCATGGGTGCCAACAAATAAACAAAGACTTTTTATTTTCAGCACCAGACACTAGATTGTAATTTTCCTTCTGTTGATAACACAAGGAGTGCAACCGTTGTCCGCGAATCCATGACGTGACGTCACGGGCGGTCCGTTTACCCAAAAGGAACTAGAGATAACGATATTACGTTTAGATACGAGTACAAGTACTTGTACCTCTCCGTTCTAAATTTTCTTGAATGTCTACTAACTTGTTTCTTGTTTCTTTTTGCTTATGACCTCAATCATTAAGATGAGCATTTCAGGCAGTTTTGTTCCTTTTTGGGTAAATGGACGTGCCTGTGACGTCATGTCATGGCGTGGCGGACAACAGGTATTTGAGCAAAGTTGTGGAGAAATGTCACCGCTGCTGCTTTAAAACATGCGTTTGAAATCAAATGCATTAAGAGCCATAAAGAATGGTCCATTCTAAAAAGATTGGTTTGTGTTTTATAATTTTCGATTGAAGATTAATTGTGCAACAGCCTTGATATTAAGCGAGGGGTTCCCAGGTGACCTAAAATGCGTTGCACTCTTTGTGTTACTATTATAAATTTACGTTTTTTTATTTAATAAAAAATTCGGTATAACTGATGGGTATGGGAACTCCTGTGGTTAATGTAAATAGGTACATTTTAATGCAAGTTCAGTCACTAAACATGCTAAAAGAAAAAGTTCATAATGCGTGTTTATCCATATCTTTCTTATGGATAAATGTGATGAGCTCCAATTTTACACAAAGATTGTTATGACCTAAAAGTGTGTCATGCCTTTGACCACAGTTCATTTCTGCAAGTTCAAGGTCACTGACCAAAGAAAATGAACGTCAATTATATTTTCACTCTAAATGTTTCAGCAAATTGTGAGCTCCTCTTAGTTTCATACAATATTTGTGATTTGGCAACTTGTTAACAACACAGCAGTGGATATCTATCCCATTTGTGCAGTTCTAGTTTGTTTAGGCAATATATTTATATATTTATTACATGTACAGAGCATTTAATATTAATTATCTGATTTTAACAAAGCATTAATCTTTTGGTTGAAATAATTTTACCACTGCTTGTTCGGCTCAGGGTGAAATATAAGTACTGTAATAACATGAACGATGATAAATAATTTGAACACATACATGTACACAAAATAATCTCGCTTGATCAGTCAAGGGCATCATGGAAACAAGTTATTTTTGAAATGATTTGTTTAATTTACTTTATATCACAATTTTGGGTTATCTTCCCCTGATTATGCTTTTCTTTAGTAACTCTTACACAAAAATCTACAGCTTTTCACAAAAAAAGTAAGACATAGAGATTGCACAGTAATATCCAAAGATTTTAGGGAAAAAAGTCTCAATGTTGGCAAGATTGGCGGAAGATGTGTAATTGACCTCTGAAATGTTAATGAAATAGAATTATTTTATTTTTGAAAAATATCATGTTATTTTCTTAATATCATCATATCTGCTCAGGAGATATTACGTTTGTTGTGTGTATGAAAAGAAGTACATATATTTACAATTTTCTTAGTCTTAAATCATCTTAAATCAGCAACAAAGTCAAAATATTAATGTTTTTTTTTACAAAACTAATAGGTGTTCTACTTTTTAAGCATCAACTCAAATGGGTTATTCTTTGTTTAGTAGGTGAAGTGGCATAAACAAGTTATTTTTAGAAAATAACTTGATTCCATCCTGCCCCTGACTGATCATGTTGATATGCAAATTAGCCTGTTGATGTTGTAAGGATCATAATGACTTTATTTTGTATGTTATAAGGAAATCATTCTCCTGATAATAGAAGAAAATGATTATTTATTAACAGTAGCTGATGACGACTCACCATTGAAGACATTTATCAGGATAAATGTCGAAGACTTGAAGGCAAACATGTCCAGTGAAGTTGACCTCTCAAATACAAATGAAAAAAGAGACAGTTTGGAACTGAAAAAATCTCATATAGATACTGAAGAAATTTGCACCAGTGAAGAAAAGGCAGAAAGCAATATTGAGTTGTCTAGTTCACCAACTGAAGTCAAAGAAGAAGTCAATACAGTACAGTTAATGTCCAGTGTTCTCTCCTCAAAAGAAAAAAAATGAAAGATGAAATTTTCTTGAAAATCTTGTCTGAAAAAGAGAACTTACCAACTGTCAGCATGCTGGATTTTGCTGGTCAGTTGGCGTATTATGCCTGTCACCAGATTTACGTAACACCTAAGGCCTTCTTTATCCTTGTGTTGGACATGACTAAGAAGTTCGAAGATGTTGTCGATAGGGAGAAAGACAATCAAGAAGGGTCAATCTTCTCTGTGTGGACTTACAAAGGTAAGGCATTATTTTCTGATGTCTTATTAGGTCACTTGAGTAAACTCAGATGACCTATTGCTATCCGTTTTCGTCCATCGTCTTGCGTTGTGTGTTAACATTTTAACATTTTCAGCTTCTCTGCAACCACTGAACCGATTTTAATTAATGAACTATATATGGTATAAGCCATCTTAGCCCCCCCTCCCTGTTTATCTTTGCTATGGGGAGAGAGAAGGCAAGGGTGCTACTAAAAAAATATAATTTAATTTGCTCAGGCATTCCGTTGCCATGGAAACAATGCATGGTCAAAAATATATATCTTCAGAGCTGATAATCTGTCATTTATTGTCATTTATGTAATCTTTCATTTTGATACCAACTATACTGTCAAAAGTTAATTATTGTATGTATACTTTGGGATATATCAAAGTGACTGTTTTACTAAAAAATATATTTAAAATTTAATAGGTAGTCCGTTACCATGGAAATCGTCTACAAAACTTATTCCTTCATATCTGAAATTATCGCTTTCATATGGCTTTCACTGACAATTAACAAATCCTTAATTGTGGTAGCATCTAAAAAATGTTCAAAAATGTTATATTTATATTCTTGGATACCTAAGGTGCGCAGTACAGTTAAGGCAACATTTTCTATAAAAAGTCACCGAAAAAGACATAATTAATGTTTAACTATTTTTATTTTTTAGCAAGACACTCTAGTTAAAATAGCTTTATGTTATCTTGAAGGGTATGTCCATCGCTATTCATCTCGGAATTTTTAACTAGATTAAACTAGGCCTATATTTGCAGACTGCACTGGGATCTTTTTACTTAATTGAACAGTATGCATAAAACACTTGATAATACTTTCTATTTTGAGACTTCGATCTTTATACAATGTATGAATTATGTACCTTCCGCATTTCCTCGAATATGTGTAAACACACATGCAGCTACATGTAGGTGTAAAATTTGCAGCAGCATGTAATCTAAAACACCGATGGTTAATAAAAAGGGAAATATTCAATTATAATAGTCAATTGATAGCCTCCATCAATAATTAATTCGATAACTATACCTCTCTGTCACTACTGTACATACACTTGTGTACATTTTTTTTTGGCATACAAGATTCTGTCATGACTTTCTTTCAAACCTTCAAAACCTACGGGATTTAAGTTGTACGTGTTACAATCTAATTTAAATTAGATCTTTGATCCGCTCCAGTTTGCTCGCTACACATATTTTATTCCAAAAGCAGGGGGGGGGGGTTAGATCTCAAAAATGTTGAAAATAAATATGTCCCAGACTGGATAAGAAATAAATAATCTGCCCCAGACCAGTTTCCCCCCCCTCCTATAAATTATTTTTTTTTAGCTTGTCAGACATTTTCCGTGAAGAAAATAAATAACGTGTCCTTCATCTTATTGGAAATAAATATTAGTAGACCTGTCCTTCATTGACATGAAAAGAAATTTAAAAAAAATTATAACTTGGGAAAATTTGCCACCCCCCCCTCTCCTTTAAGAATAAAATGTTGGTCCACTTTCCTGTTTTGATTAGCGGTCGTATTTCAATAGTGGCTACGATCAATGTTGTTATTGATATGCACCCTCAACCACTATTGATACAATTATTTCAATAGTGGTCGTATTTCAATAGTGGTTATGAACTATGTTTGCTATTAATATGCACTCTCAACCACAATTGATATAATTATTTCAATAGTGGTCGTGTTTCAATAGTGGTTACGAACTATGTTTGCTATTGATATGCACCCTCAACTACTTTTGATATAATTATTTCAATAGTGGTCGTTATTTCAATAGTGGTTGCAACACCTCATTACCGTATTTTTTTTCTATGGGTTGCCTTAACCGTACTGCGTGATTCCTTTACTAACAAAATGTATTTAAAATGAAAGGCAATTTCGTTGCCATGGCAACCAATTTTTTAAAAACATATTTCTTCTGACTAGTTTTTGTTGCTATTTACCAAACAGAAACAATCGTTAAATTTTTCCTTTACATTTTCTTCCATTTTTTTGGTTAAACTATTTTAAATATATATTTTATTTTTCAAGGAAATGAAAAATATAAAAGTTTAACCAAAAAATGGTATTGAAGGACCTGGCTGTTGACAAGAATCAACTTATGTCTTACCATAATTCTGTCCGTTTATGCAGTACTTTCCGATAATAACTTTGTTACTAAGAAAGTTTTAGATTGAAAGCTTATATTCTAGTATTTATATGATTCATGACTTGATTAAAGCTCTGATTCAAAGCATTATTTTGCAATATGAACATTGATATTTTGCATAGAATGATCATAGTTGAAGTGCAGAAATAAGTAATCAAACTTATAGACTTGTATTTTTTTATTTATGTATTTTTGAATTATGCCTCTAGCCAAAGTGTCACCCGCGTGGCACAATGGTTAGAGCGTCTGCTTTAATGTGGAAGTGTAAGGAGTTTATCCGTACGTCGCTGCATGTTTCGAATCCCACTCATGGATGTGGAGACCGGTTCTTCGTATGAGTTTATATAAACAAGGTCCCGTGTGAAGTAGGTGATGGCACCAATAAGATCTTTCACTACTCATTAATTGGAAGTGCCATGTATAATTTGTGGCCCTCTACCGGCAAGTGGTGGCGTCTCAATATGAGTGAAAAATTTTTGAGAGGGATGTTTAATAACAATCAATAAATCATTTTTTATTTTCTTTTTTTTAATCAGAAGACCTTATCTTAATTATCATTAGCATGTACATAAATTCTTGTATCAGAATCAGATGATCGTGTAAATAGATCTAACCACTGCAAGGCAACTCAATAAATAGAACTAGTGGAATATTGGAATCTTGTTTAGATTGATGGGGAAGGGTGCAATAAAATATAATCAATAACTTTCTAGTCTTATGCGTCTTTGATAAACAATAAATCTCAACTAGTACTTTTTTGACATTTTCCGAGAAGCAGTGAATGTACATGTAAGAAACTTGACTGTGTTACAAAGGTATAAATGACGCATACACATCCCTTTAAAAATGTATTGAGACTTCTTATCTGTAGAGTCTGGAAAAGAAATCATCATCTCTCTCTATCTAACAATCTTAAAATAATCTAGTTTATGCCAATCTATTAACAATTAAATCAAATAAAAAAGTGTCGCGAAAATTTAGTGATCTACAGTATTTATCAAATATTTTTGAAAAGCAAGGATGTCTTTTTAAAAATTGTGCAATGTGTGAATCTAGGCCTAAGGGTCAGGGGTTCACGTGTGATAGGGGCACTACTGATTATTTTAAATGCATTTTTTGCTCCCCTACCCTGCATATGGGAATAAAGTAACCAAACTAAGTGTATTGTTATGATGACCAATGGTGCCTCTTTCAAAATTGTGAATGCCATAGCATCCGACTTAAAACATGAATCAAATTCCATATGGCATCAGACTTAAAACATGAATCAAATTAAATCAGTTGTTATATGATGCTTAGGTGACCTATGAGGCCCATGGGCTTCTTGTATAATTTATGTGTCTTTGGCTTACACTGATGATGATGAAAAAGATTATGCAGTATCAGACACTCAGGCCTGCAAAGTAAAAATATATACCAATACAAATGCTGGTAATATAACATGTATAACAATGTATAAGAAGAGGACTCTTAGAAATCAAAAATGCAGTAAAGTTTGATGAAAGTTAAACCTAAGTCTCTCACCCATGAAAAAGGGATTTTTGTTGGGAGTATATTTTTTGTGTTTATTATGGATCTCCTGTCGGTGATCTGAAGAGCATACCTTTTAATTTTTGCTTCTTTTCCAGAACCAGTGTGTAAATGTCAATTTAACTTAATAAAAAAGTGTCCATAGATTTAGCATGTTAAATACATTTTGTGCAACTGAAGATTCAAGCCATCTTCTAAGGAGTAAGATTAATTACAAATAAGTTATCATTTAAGGACATTTAAAAAAATGTGACTTCGAATGGCTTCAAAATATTTCCTTATTTTTATATTCCTGATAGGTGCTCACTCACTCTAGCCTTTCTGGCAGTTCTTGTGTTCCAACAAATTAATGATTATATTAAAACATTGTCTAGCAACTATGTGACATAATTTTTATACTCCGGCTTAAAACTGAGGTGGGGAGCTGGGGTGGGATATTTGTAAACAGGGTGTTGGTACGTCTCTGTCTGTCTGTTGTCCATCTGTAAACCCATCTGTAACCCTTTGGAGTACCCATATCTTCTCCACAATTCCTCTTTTACTACTTATTAAAACCGAGACTTTCACAGAATATTTGCTATAGTAAAATTTTGTACCTCGTATTTTGCTTTTTTTTTTAGCTCACCTGAGATGAAAGCTCAAATGTGTTTTAGCTCACCTGAGCCAAAGGTTTAAGTGAGCTGTTCTGCTCGCATTTTTTCTGTCGTCTGTCCGTCCATCTGTCCGTCCGTTACCTTTCCACATTTTCGACTTCTTCTCTAGAACAATGGACCAATTTTAACCAAACTTGGTACAGCCTATCCTTAGGTGAAGAGAAGTTTAGATTTTTAAAATAAAGGGGCCAAGTCTCCTTACAAAAGGAGATAATCAAGAAAAGACAAAAATAGGGAGGGGTCATTAAAAAAATCTCCTTCTCAAGAACCACTGGGCCTTGAGCTGAAACTTATGTGGAAGCATCCTTCGGTAGTGTTGATATTAAGCTGTTAAAATCATGACCCCCGGTAGTAGGGCGGGGCCACAATAGGGATTCCAATTTTTACATAGAAAAGTATATTACAAA